TGCTGGTCTGGTCCCACCACCACGCCAGCCCCAAATAACACACAGAGACTCTGTATTAGATATAAAGCTGTTAGCCTGTTACTAGCATATCTTATTGGCTAGCTCTGTCTAAAATATTAACCCATTTCTATTAATCTAAGTATTTCCATGTGGTCTCATCTTACCAGAGAGAGAGCCCGATCTCTGTTCTCTCAAGTCTCTACATGTTGACTCTTCCCTACTTCTTCCTCTCTCCTCCTAGTCTCCTAATCCCACCTATCTTGCTTTCCTATTGGCCAACAGTGCTTTATTCATTAACCAGTAAGAGAAACATATTTACAGAATGGCATCTCCCATTCTGTAAATATGTTTCTCCAATGGCACTGTTGGCCTGGCTACTGGGAGCTTGACAATGAGTATATGGGTGGGCAACACAAATTGGATTGGGTGTATTTTTTTCTTCTTTGTTGGGGGAGGGCAAAATTGTGGGAGAGTGGGCCTGGGGGGGGAGATGAGAATCCAGTGTAATCAGGGGGTATTCTATGAAATACCCAAATAATCAATAAAAGTATTACATTGGAAAAAATTTGTTGTCAATAAAAGAAAAAGTAAAGATGGAAAAAAGAAAAACATTTTTTAGATTTTATTTATTTTTATTTTGTGTGTATGGGTGTTTTTTCTGCATGCATGCCTATGCAACAAGCATGTACAGTGCCTGTGGAGGACAGAAGAAGGCATTGGATCCCCTGGGAATAGAGTTACAGATGGCTGTGGAGTTTTATATGGGTATTTTTGTCCTCTGGAAGAGCATCCAGTGTTTTTTAACCCATGAGACATTTTGAAATATTGGGTTTAATTTTCTTTTGTGGGTTGATTTTAAGCCTTTAATCAACTCATATTGTAGTTTTGTAACTAAGGTGCATTGGGGTTCCACGTTCATAGTTTAAACTTTATGTATTGATCATTCTTTGAAATGTATGTCACTTTTCATTCAATCACAATATTTATCAAATATGTTCTTTCTCAGAGCAGTGTCATCTGAAGTATATTTCCTTAAAAACATTTGAATACACACAGACTTTGAATTTTATTGATTTCCTTCATTTAAAATTTTTTATCTAGTTCTTAATTTAAATTGATAGGCAGTTGCATCTAAAGCTTTTTCTTCTCTCAAAATGCCAAGTTTATGATATCCTTTGAGTTCTGGCATCTAGTGCCTTCAACATCATTAATTTTCTCAAGTGTTTTAATTTCCACTATAAAACCTTTCATTTGGTATTCCAAGTCAGTAGTTTTTTCCTACATTGTGTCTTGTTTTCAATCTACTCTATTATTTATAGCAAATATTTAATTTGGTTTTGTTTAATGATCTTTTCTATAAGAAATGAAGAATTAAACAACATAATTTTATAACATAAAAATACTTGGTCTATAAATGAAATTAATGATGTAATCACAATCACTACACCAATGACACAGTTCCTCAAATTCAACACCCAGTTCTAGACCCACTCAGGTTTCTGTGGTCCCCGAGTCAGGGGGCTTTTCGTGTTCTGACTTTGTGATTTAGACAGACTTACTAGGAGGTCAGCATGTTTCTAAGAGTTGTCAAAAACATTCCATCTGTTAGTTCTGAGTCATGAGAGGGTGCTCAACAAGTAAACAAGGATGGTGAATCTCTAACCTCTATACATAGCCTTGCAAATCTTAATCTAACTTCTGCAACTTCAAAATATTCTTCATTTGTTTGGGAGTATTTTAGTAGAAATAGGCACATTATAGCATTTTACTCTTTATTTCTCCCTACCGTAAGTTACTTCTGAACACATCAAGTTTCTTTTTGTGAGAAGAATATGGTCCCTAAGAGATGGCTGAATCCTAATCTATGACTGTATCACCCTCCATGGCAAAGGGACTTTTAAGGGCATGATTAAGAATCTGAAGAGGGAGAGCTTGTTCTGGATTGTTTGTAGGTATTCAGTGTAAATACAGGCTCTTGATAAGGAGAGATAGAAACAGAGGATACAGGGTCATGATGCAAGGAGGGTGGGTAGCCCTCAAAGTTGGGAAATGCCAGCTATTGCTTACAGAAAAACTACAACCAACCAAACAAACAAATAAAAAATCCAACATTGGATTCAAACTCATGGAGACTGACTTCTGACTTCCAGAACTAGAAGATAATAAATTTAAGTTGTTTAAGCCACTAAATTGGTGGTGATTCCCTGCAAGGGTAGCAAAATTGAAAACAAATTTCCAAGCCTACTATGCCTGAATTCTAATGACTTCCATAAAGACCTTTCTAATGCCTTTAATTTTTTTATTTAAATTAAAAACTATCTTATTTTACATACCAATCCCAGTTCCCTCTCCCTCCCATCCTTCCATGTCCTCCACAACCAAACCCCTATCCTACCCCCTATCCACTCCTCAGGGAGGGTGAGGCTTCCCATGGGGGATCATCAAAGTCTGTCACATCTTTTGGGTCAGGGCCTACGCCCTCCCCCATGTATCTAGGCTGAGAGAGTATCCCTCCATTGGAAATCAGCTCCCTAAGACGATTCGTGCCCTAGGGATAAATACTGGTTCCTCTGGCTACTGCTAGAGCCCCCATAGATTGCACCGGCCTCCCAACTGACACACATGGACAGGAGGCCTGGTTTGGTCCTATGCTGGTTCCCCAGCTGTCAGACTGCGGTTTATGAGTTCGTACTTGCTCAGGTCAACTGCTTCTGTGGGTTTCTCCGGCCTGGTTTTGACCCTTTTGCTCATCACTCTTCCCTCTCTATAACTGGATCCCAGGAGTTCAGCTCAGTTTTAGCCGAGGATCTCTGCTTCTGCTTTCATCAGCTACTGGGTAAAGGTGCTATGATGGCATTTAAAGTAATCTTCAATCTCATTATAGAGGAAGGACATTTAAGGTTGCTTCTTCACTATTGCTTAGATTCTATAGTTTGTGAAATTATACTGTCTATACTATCCTAGAGTTTGCTATTTTCTCTTTGGAAAACATAAGCTAAACCTAGGAATTCAATTTCTACATTGTATGTTAAAGGCAGAATTCCAGAAGTCATTACACCTAATGCTTCCATAGTTTACAATACTAATTGAAGAGGAATGGACAACAGAGTAAAGTTTGGGATTTGGATGAAGGAGCATATCAAATGGCAGTAGATGTTGTTTGTCTAGAAAATGTTTGGGCTGATCTATTACTCGTGGAGTCAAGTTTACTGCTTTTACTGGTAAGATCTACTGCAGGATGCTTGCATCAAAGACCACTCAGTGCTTATCCCCTGACCTTCATCTTCTGTTTCCATAAACAAAAATACAATAAAAATAATCTTCTGGATTAGTCTCTCTGTCTGTCTCTGTGTGTATCTGTGTCTGTCTTTTTCTGTGTGTCTGTCTTTCTCACTGTCTCTGTCTCTCTCTCTCTCTGTCTAAAGATCTATGTATTTTTAGGAAGTGTCTACAGGGAATCTCTGGCATTTGTCTGAGAAGATGGTACATATATGGTGTCTCTGCCCTCTAAGGTATTTACTTAATTATTTCTTTTCATTATTCCCATTTCTCTTGAAGCGGTATCAGCCATTCAAGCATCAAGTTCTCCATCATTTTTTATTTCTTTCAAAATGTCTGCTGTTTTCAGTTCCAGACTCGTAACCACCATTGCTCCTAGAAGCACCTCCTCCTTTTGCCTCCTCCCCTCACAGTCTCCCTGACCTTAAGAATCAAAGTTTTTGTTGTTCTCAGTTGATTGTTCTTTCCATCTCATAGTTCAGGTATGTATTTTGATCCCTTATGTGGTTCAAAACCATGGATGATCAAAGGCTGGTAGCATCAGTAATTTGTTTTCCTGAATCCTGGGACTTGTCACCCCTGTGTTTCCTTAATGCAGCTTTAACCTGGAAACAATTACATCTTCAAGTGTGTGTGCACATGGAATTCTGTCTATTTCTCAGTGATACACATAGCAGGTAAGAATATGGACCAGAAAAACAAGGACATGTCTACGACATCAATAAACTTTTACTAGGGCAACTACTCACATCAGGAACACTCCATTCAGATCATCAAACATATTTGAAGGCATTCACCATTTGTCTGCCTGGAGTGGACATCATTTAGTAGGGTTCTTTAAAAAACACTTCTAGTATTAAGGTGTGGGCAGTAGTGACCAAAACATGAGTAATGAAGTGGGAAGAGCTTTGTTAATGAAGTGGACTGAAAATGAGAGGACTAACGATGTTGCCTGAGAAGAAAGCAAAGTATACGTCTTCCCAGTGTTCAGCTTACAGTGTGATTCCTTTAACTAAAACTATACCTGTAACTACCTTACCCTAAGAACAACCCTGGGCCCTTGATTTGACTCTGTTTACCCCTACTGCCAGCCCATAACACAGGTCACTTAACTCCTGTTAGGTTTGCTCAAGTGTTAGTGTTTGAATACGAAATGCCCACCCTGGGCTCATGCACTGAATGCTTGGCCTTCAGATGATGGTACTGTTTATATGTCCAGTAAACCTTAGGAAGTGGAACCTAGTTAGAGGAAGTAGATCCCTGGGCCTTTGCCTTTGAGGGTTATATGAGGTTCTTTGTAGCTCCTCACTGTGCCTTCCTGTCTATATGGTATAAACACCTCTTCAGTGGGCTCTTGACACCTTGTTGTTCTGTCCAAGCACAACAGGCAAAAAAAAAAAATTCTGTACTGGAAGCATGAGCAAAAACAGATCTGTCTTTCACCAAGTGGTTCTTCCATGTATTGTGTCACAGTGACACACAGTGACATTCTACCAGCACACCGACTTTGGATCTGTGATGCAACTTAGACAGTACAACATAAATCAAAGACCAAAACAATAAAAAGCAAACAAAACATAGAATAATATAGTCAATAATTTATTAGAAAAATCAAATAAAGTCATGAAAGAGTTACAAGATGATTCATGAAATCATATATGCACATTGGAATAGAATCATAGATATTTATCATTGCAAGGTTCTAAATAGACAATAGCAAATGGCTTTTATTGTTTTTAATTTCTTAAGCTAAAAAGGCAATTAATTATCTCTTTGTCAAGGCTGAGATCACAAACCCAGGTCTAGATCAGTTGATGTTTAGAAGCAGAGGAATTAAAAAGGATTTCAGAGTGGATTTGATGGTAAGCAGTGATCAAGTCACAGTCTGTTAATAAGAAAATGACTGGGAGTTTTGTGGGATGCATATTACTTTTAAGTGCATATTATTAGCAGAGAATGGTAGTAAATTGGTTATCCTGAAGGTCTGTTGTTAGTGGGTCTGTGGTAAGTTGATCAACAACTGCAGGGCTCACAGCAGCTGGACCCACAGCCTTGGGACAGGCAGCCAGGCACACAGACACATGTGGGCTGGTAGCAAGTTCTGGTGCAGGTCACAGGTCCAGAGCAAGCTGGCTGGCAGCACAGGTTGAGGCAGAAGGGCTCACAGCAGGGCTTGCAACAGGGCTTGCAGCTGGGTTGGCAGCAGGGCTGGCAGCAGCTAGAGATACAGCACCTGGGCTGGCAGCAGCTGGGCTGACAGCAGCTGGGCTGACAGCAGCTGGGCTGGCAGCAGCTGGGTTGGCAGCAGCTGGGCTGGCAGCAGCTGGGCTGGCAGCAGGGCTGGCAGCAGCTGGACACACAGCAGCAGGGCTGGCAGCAGGGTGTGCGGCAGCAGCTGCTCACACAGCTTGGCTGGAAGCAGGTCCTACAGCAGGTGGTTTGGCAGCTGGGCTGGCAGCAGCTGGAGCCACAGCAGCTGGGCTGGCAGCAGGGCTGGCAGCAGCTGCTCACACAGCTTGGTCTCCAGCAGGTGGTCCTGCAGCAGGTGGTCCTGCAGCAGGTAGGCTGGCAGCAAGGGGAGCAGCAGGAGCTGGTCATGGTGTTGGATGTGGAGGGAGAGGTTCTGTTCACAGGGGTTCCTGAGATTATGACAACTGTTTCAGTCCTGGGGCTTTTATACCCTGGACATAGCAGGACTTTTCCTTGTTTGTTTCCAATGGCTCATGGGGAAATTCTCTGAGGAGGAAGTTGTTCGATATATTATAAATCTTTGACACTTCTATTTAAATAACTAATTGTGGAGAGTGTTTGTAGAAACTCATCAGTGTCATTCCTGCTCTAGTCATGTGACCACAGGTCAATGTTTTCCTGCACCTGTACCTTTGGCTGTATGCAGACTGGGGAAAGTCTATGATAATGATATGTTCACAGTGATAAACTGAATCCACAGCTGGGTCAAAGCCTGTTCCTTGGGAAAGCCTGTTTACACCAGATTACAACAGGCAGCAGGCCATTTCTGTGTTTCACCGGCTTTATAAAGTATACATGGGCAGAGGGTGGTTGCCACAGTCATTTTCACACACAAGTAAACCCAAATGTGGATAGATAGATGCAGTAAGATGACATAAGGGCCTAGAAAATATCAATCCATTTAGACCTTCGTCCTCTTTAGCAACTGGACCAATAAACTCAAGTCAGATCCTCAAATCAGCACACTTTCTTTATAAAATGAGGAAATTAAATTCTATGAGATCAAACTATATACCTTTATTTAAGAGAATTTAAAACATAAGATAGTATCAGAAAATACATGTGCTTTTATATGTAGCTTGACTGATTATGATAAATGTAGTGTGTCCAGCATTTGTGTCAGGAAATAGTGGCATTCCTGGTAGTTGTCACTATAGTATTATCTCTGGACCTCTCCCTAAGGCAACTAGTATGTAAATAATAGTTTGTCAGGTTTTGACCTTTATTAAAAGTGAAGTCATTTAGCATGTATTATTTGTTTTCTTTTGCTCAAATTTGCTTCTGAGATTTATAGACTCCACTGCCTATAGTGGTCAATTGCACAGTTTTGTTGATATCATTGTAGGATGCGACCAAATTGTATTAATGTGCTTCATTGCTGACAGATGTATTTCCATCATTTAAACTATTGTGAATCCTGTTCTCATGGACATATTTGCCCATATCTTCTAGTGAATAATTTTCTCATAAACTTTTGGAATGAAGTTTCTGGAGTATAAATTATGCACTTGGTCAACCTTAGTAGGTTTTTTCAAATGTTCTTTTGAAAGTTACAAGGTTGACTTTGAAAGCTTATTTTTAACATCTCAAGCCCATCACCAAAACTTAAGGAATGTAACAGAAGAGGAGGTGGAACATGGGAAAGGAAGGTTATAAAATGTAAACTTCTGGACTTGATATGGCTATAAACACTCATGAACTCATGAAGCGATTACTCATATTGTTCTATTATTAAATAAAACTCAGGAGTCAGATATCAGGGTAAAATATGATTGACCAGAGAAGTGGTGGAAATCAAACAGTGACCTCCTCTCTCTGGGAGGTTAAAAGCCACATGGCAGGGATGAAGATCAATCAAGTAGGTTAATTGGAGTTATAAGAGCTAGTTGGGGACAAGACTAAGCTAAAAGCCAAGCTTCTATAATTCTAAGAAGTTCCCATGTTGTTATTTGGGGCTGGTGATCCATAGATAGTCCCACAAGAAACCTTGCTACATTTGATGTCCCATGTTGGGCTCTGGGTAATATGTTTACCTTAATTATTCTAGTGTTAATAAAAGCTTAGGAGTCAGATATTGGGATAAAAACCCAATTGATCAGAGAAGCAGCAGAGAAGCAACCAGTGACCTCTTCTCTCTCTCCTTCCTTAATTCAAAAGGGCCTGCAAATCTTTCTAAACATCTCCCTACTACTTCCCTTATCTCTGTGTATGTCCTGGGTCCTCCAAAAACCCGATGGCTAATTCTGGTAAGCTAGAAGCTAGCTCTGCCCTCCAACTCAAGGTAAACTTTATCAACAGTCTCAGGAATGTCATAGTACAATCAAAATATCCCACAACATACTTATGACAGCTGTGACTACCTTCACACCACAAACAGCCAAAATTCCGTCACAGATTGGGAGGGACTTCCTGCATCTCATCTCTTCCTGAGGATCGTTTGGCAATTGATAGCTTGTTGGGTGTATACGGGGTCATTTTATTTTGAATGTATAGCCACTGGTAGAATTCCCATCCTCTAGTGACTGGCTCTGCAGACATGAACATATGGTGAGCTCTAGTTGGACTTAGCGTGTTATCAAAATAAAAGAAATAAAAATGTTTAGATTAATAAATAAAAGGACCTGAAGTTGGAAGGCATTTAAGTTGGGAGGAGTTGGAAAAAGTTGGAGCAGGGAAATAAGGGAATGAATATGATAATGCTTCATTGTATTCATGCATGAAATTCCCAAGAATAAAGAAAAAATATTTTATAATATCTTTAAAAGTTATAGTAGTGTGCACAAGTCATTGGTCTAATTGCTTTTCTGCCTCATCTCTACCTGGTGTCTTCATTCTATTTTTTTTTCCATTTTGGCCATGTGTCTGTTTAGCTCTACATCATTAGAGATTTAATTTGAATTTTCCCGAGTACCAATGAGTTGACTTTTCATATGCACACTGGACATTTGCATTTCCCTTTTGTGAAGTGCAGAACATGTTTCAATTGTTTCTGTAAAATTTTCTCTTTTTTATTATTTGCTTTACCAATATTGTTTCTAGACTATGGCATGCCTTGTCCCTCTCTTAATGATGTACACCCAATTATTTTCCCAAGATGTAGTGTTTATAGTGCTTTCTGTTTCTTATGGATAAGGATGATGTCCTAAAATCATGCTGATACTATCCTACATTACATGTAAGAAGTGCTATTGCAGTGTCGTTTGATTTAAACACCAATTAACCTGTATGAATTGTACAGAATACTGGATTTCATTAGACGTTTTAATATATGTGCACTGTGTACTTTGATCTCATTTGCCATTCTCATTATCCTTTCTTCTCTCATTTCTCCTCTCTTGCTCATCTCCTTCACTTTCCAAGTAGCCCCTTTCCACTCCCATGTCTTTTTTTATTTTTATTTTACATATCCATCAGTTCCCTCTCCCTCCTTTTCTCCCTCCCTCTTTTCCTCTCTCCCACCCTCGCATGCCCCCCAATCACCCTCCCCTCCCACCCACCCCCACTTCACATATAGGGTGATGCCTTCCAGGAGGGGTCATCTAAATCTATCAAGTCATTTGGGGTAGGGACTAGGCCTTCTCTCCTGTCTGTAGGTTAAGGGAGTATCCTTCCATGGGGGATGTGCTCCCAAAGTCCTTTTGGGCACCAGGGATATATCCTGGTTCCACTGTCTGAGGTCCCTTAGACTGTTCAGGCCTTCTAGCTGTGACTCATGTTCAGGGGGTCTGAGTCTGTCCAATGCTGGATTCCCAGCTATCAGTCTGGGGGCCCGTTAGCTCCTCCTTGTTCAGGTCAGCTGTCTCTGTGTTTCTGTAGCCTGATCTTTTCCTCCCTCTCTGCATCTGGATTCCAGCTGGTCTCAGTGTTTAGTTGTGGGTGTCTGCGTCTGTTTCCATCAGGTACTAGATGAAGGCTCTATGATGGTGGATAAATTAGTATTCGATCTCATTATCAGGGAAGGTCATTTATGGTAGCCTTTCCACTGTTGCTCAAATTGTTAATTGGGGTCAGCCTTGTAGGTTTCTGGACATTTCTCTAGGTTCAGTTTTCTCTTCAAACCTATAATGGCTCCCTCTTTCATGGTCTCTCTCTCTCTCCCCACTTCTATTCCTCCCCTGACTCTGACTCAATCTTCCTAGTCCCACATGCTTTCCTCTCCTCCCCTTCTCTTTCTTTTAAAAAAATTCAGATTGCACATATGTAAGAAAAGATTCAGTATCCATGTTTCTGAGCAAGGCTTATTTTGCAAGCAAAATTCTTTATTCTTCCTTATGGCTAAATAATTTCCATATATGCAGGCATACACATATACAGGTATACAGGTATACATGCATTCATGCAGACACTTTCTTCTTCCATTCATTTCTTGTTGCCACCGAGGCTGATTCATGACTCAACTGGTGTGAGTAGTTCCTTGATAAACACGAATTGGTGGTTATTGATGGAGAATTGTTTTAAGTTCAATGATTGACATGATAAACTTGGAAGTCGCTTGTATATAGTCAAGGATAGTGGTCGTTTGTATGCTAAATTACTCTGAGACCTTGAAGCAAAACAGCCTTTCCCTACTCATCTTCTGTGTCAGCATTGCTGCAAATCAAGTGACCTCATGGAAATCTCTCTTTCTCTTACTGTACTAATTCAGGCCAATCAGATCCCAGTGTCTTAGTTAGGTTTTCTATTGCTATGATAATGATATGTTCACAGTGACAAACTGAATCCACATTTGGGTCAAAGTTTGTCCTTTGACACAATGACCATGACAACTCTTATAAAGGAAGATGTTTAATTGGAAAGTCTTGCTTACAGTACGGAGGTCCAGTCCATTACTGTCATGCAGGAAGCGAGGCGGCATGCAACAGACAGTCCTTACATCTCGATCCAAAGGCAACAGAAAACGAATTAAAACACTGGGTGTGGCTTGCACATATATGAGACCTCAAAGCCCGCCTCCACAGTGACACACTTCTTCCAACAAGACCACACCTACTCCAATAAGGCCACACCTCCTAATTGTGCTACCCCCTTTTGGGGCCATTTTCTTTCAAATCACAGCACCTGGAGAGGAAAGAGGCTGCATAAACCAACCAAACTCCTTTCATATTCGTTCTTTCTCAGATATTTCCTCAAAATTCTTTACTGTCCTGGCAGGTCTTGAATTAACTGATAAGGATTTTTTAGATTTTTTTTTATAGATTTATTGTTGATTGTGTCACTGTAATAACATTTGCTCCCCTACAGTTTAACTTTCTCTATTTGAGAAGATAAGAAATTAGAATAGTAACTATAGCGAGAGAGGAGAATTCAAAAGCATGACCTTGGGCAAAGCTATCCTTTGTTAACAGCTCCTCCGTCTTAATTTTTAAAAATTTGCATGCAATGTCAATTTACTACTTTTACATTTTAATAAAAATGTAATTGTATTGCTCACCCCTTCCCTTTAATTCCTTTAGTCTCTCTCATGTCTCCTCTCTCCAATCCCTCTCATGCCCCCTCACTCTCAAAATTATAGCCTCTTTGATATATACATATACATCATACATGATATATGATACATATGCAAATATATAAATATGACATACTTAATCCATCGAGTGTTGCTTGTATTTATGTGTGTAGGGAAGGCCACTGGGATTGGACAACCTATTAGGGGGCTTGTCTTTGGTGAAGAATGATTCTCTCTCAGGACCTGCTATTTGTTCATGCATGGTATTTAGGGAGTGGGGCCTTGTGAGATTTCTCCAATCCAAGTTGGCATGTCAATGGTGCTGTCATTGTGCTGCTCTCTATTTTAAACATAGATTCATCTCATGATCTTTGGCTCAAACATATTGCATTTTAGATGGTAGAAGGTTGATACTTCTTATATAACCCATGAAATAATCATTCATTCATTCATTCATTCCAAAGCATGGTAGTCTCTTAATATCCATTAGGATGCCTTGATGATGCAAAAATCTTCATATGCTCAAATTTTTTGTTCTACCAGCATATTTACACTTAATACATGTACACTCTTCTACAAACATTATATTAGTTATCTCTGTGTTACTTATAATAATTGGATCAAATGGATGCTTGCTTGTTTTTGCATTGCTAGGCATCAAACAAGGGTCTCACATGTGTGAGGCTAGTTCTCTACTACTGAGTTGACCTCAGCAGTCCCAGTATCTTATAGCATGTAAATGGGATCTACTTAATTGTTCCACTGTGTTGTTTATAGAATAATATATTCAGTTTATTTGAATTTATTTTTTTAAAATATATTTTAGTCTGGGGTGGATTGACTGTATTGATTGGCAAGCCACTGATGGAGGGCTGACTACATATATTGAATATTATATGTTCAGAACTACCCCAAGATGCTCAATAGGGCCAAAGAACAAGGAACCAAAACATTCTGTGCCATGTTCTGGGTGGCTTGGTACTTGAACTGGCTGGGGTGTGAGGGGACAAAGAAAGAATAGACACACATACAGTGAAGATGCAATTCAATGGCCTGTGCTTGCTCTGATGGAGGGTACCAAATACACAACACCTCAGTGCCTCCTTGTGTTTATTAGGTACAGCTCAGAGGGAGCCTGTACCCTGGGCAGGTTGGCAGGGAGGACTTTGTCTGTTTCCTGTGGGTCTGAGGCGTTGGGTGCTTGAAGTCACTGTGCCCATGTCAACAATGCATGTCCACCCAGGATTTCACCCACTATGCACTCACTCAAGGTTTCCTTGGCTCCTCTCAATCCTGCAGGAATCACCAGCATCACATCCAAGATTATATTGTAGTAATATAGAGCACAGGCTTGAGAGGCAACAGAGATGTTTGTTCTGCTTTCGCCAATTATTGACTCCATAGTTTTAAAATTCTATTTTTTCCAAGTGTGAAACAAGATCATCTTAATCCATTAATATTGGTATATGAAGAGGCCTCATTTTAGTCTTCATTTGCACTTTTCTGCATTCTGTTCAGATCGACAATTTCTTTATAATTTTGGTCATACATGCCACCAAGTTTGTAACTTCTTCTTCTTCTTTTTTTTTTCTGTTTCTGCCTCTGATGATTGCAAGCTCTACATGTTAGAAGCCAAATTCAGCTATTTTTCCTGCAGCTAAAAACATGCCTTTCTCAAGGCATCAAGAGATAAACATCAAGAGATGTTTATCTGTATTTCTTATAAGAGTTTCAAGGGTTTTAAGTCCTCAGTACACCTGGGTTATATTTTGTAGATTATGTGTGCTAGATACCTACTCCAAGTACTTTCTATCTCAACTTACGGGAAAGTCTCTGGGACCCATAATTACTGCACATTTCCATGTAGAATATTACATTTTTTACTGCCTTCTTACCAGTGTTATCACAAATCAATTCCCCCTCCAATGTGGCTATTTGTACAGGTAATCAGAAGAGTAAAGGCATAAACTATGCCATTTCTAGAAGACTAACAATTGCTAGATGGTCTTTTCACATCCAAATCCTGAGATGGCCCTCAGGTCAACGTGCCTCCAAGCCTGAGTTTGATCCCCAGGACCCACACTGTGGAAGGAGAGAAATGACTCTCATACTTGTCCTCTGAACACCCTCTCTCACACACACACCAGACACACAGACTGTAAAAAAAGATTTCAAAATCCTACAACAGTAGCAAGTATTCTGTGGTTGAAAAGTATTTAAAAGTTATCACCAATGGCTTTTTTTTTTAAAGGCAAGGTAATACAAGGTTTACATGGCTTTCTAGGATCTTAAAACCAGCTCTTTTTCTCAGTGGTTACTGGTTACCAAGGTGCTTGGTAAATGACATAATGCATTATGAGATGCACAGCTTCCCAGTGCTTAGTTCTGGTGTCTCAATTTCATTAAGTTGTTCCCATTATCACAACAGAGCTGCAATGGGTAAGTGCAAGTCTCTGAAGGGATGTTTTGTACACAGCTCACTCACATGCCACATGCTGTCTCTGCCCAAGTCTGAGACTCTGACGTGGCTCAGATGAGATGACCCAATATGACAAAGAAAATACAGAAATCAGAAACAAGACAAAATATAACTCAGGAGATCGTTGAGTGAAGACTTTATTAGTAAACCATAGATAATGGCCTTCCTACCAGGGAGACAATGCAGTTTTTATGAATGAGTTACAAGATGAGTCATAGTAATTATAAAACATGGAAATGAAATGATGAGTAACACTGGGAAAAGTCAAAATGCTTTCATTCATTCTTTCTTTTTATTTTATAAACCTTCTGTAAGTTGAAAACAAAATAAGCAAAATTTCCATGGTTGAGACTGTGAATCCATGTGAGTAACAGATGGCTTTGACGAAGACCCAGAGCAATGAGGAGGAACACTGTGAATAAGGTTGTGTTTACTGAGAAAACACACAAATCTGCTAATGAGATGCTGGTGGTTACACAGGGTAAGACTTCTTTTCAGAGAAAGAGCAGGGAGTTAGTTTACTGTGGTTATCAGGAAGGCTTGATAGTAGGAGTCTATTTTATGTAGATATTGAGTCTGTGGTAAGTTGATTAACAACTGCAGGGCTCACAGCAGCTGAACCCACAGCCTTGGGGCAGGCATCCAGGCACACAGACACATGTGGGCTGGTAGCAAGTTCTGGTGCAGGTCACAGGTCCAGAGCAAGCTGGCTGGCAGCACAGGTTGAGGCAGAAGGGCTCACAGCAGGGCTTGCAACAGGGCTTGCAGCAGGGTTGGCAGCAGGGCTGGCAGCAGCTAGAGATACAGCACCTGGGCTGGCAGCAGCTGGACTCACAGCAGCTGGGCTGGCAGCAGCTGGGCTGGCAGCAGGGCTGGCAGCAGCTGGACACACAGCAGCAGGGCTGGCAGCAGGGTGTGCGGCAGCAGCTGCTCACACAGCTTGGCTGGAAGCAGGTCCTACAACAGGTGGTTTGGCAGCTGGGCTGGCAGCAGCTGGAGCCACAGCAGCTGGGCTGGCAGCAGGGCTGGCAGCAGCTGCTCACACAGCTTGGTCTCCAGCAGGTGGTCCTGCAGCAGGTGGTCCTGCAGCAGGTAGGCTGGCAGCAAGGGGAGCAGCAGGAGCTGGTCATGGTGTTGGATGTGGAGGGACGAGTTCTACTCACAGGTGAGTTTCCCAAAAATCTACTTTTTTCTGTGCTAATTTGCCTTTTATGTATGATGCCCAAAAATTTGAGCCAATGAGGAGAACTTGTGTGTGTCATTGTTTATGCTAATTTCCTCATCCTATGATGTACTTCAAGGGAGAAGTTGCTCCCTAAGTGTTTTTAATGTTCCTTTAGTAATCTATATGTTTACTTCCCTAATTGTTAAGTAAATGATTAAGACTCTTTTCCTTGAATGAGAAACCAACTGCCATTCACTACATCAGCTTTAACACTAATCTTTTAGTGTGGACAAATGTAGGATGATTTTTTTTTTTTTTTGCCCCGCCAGTCAGGTTGCATCTCCCTTCTTCCCAGAGTCCTCTCTGTCCCTAAAACCCTTCCTAGCTATTGGTCCTTCACCTTTAACCTATTAGAGTAACACATATTCATAGTGTACAAAAAGATTATTACATAACAGACACATTTTAATATTGATTATTTACTATGATGTTTTAAATGTTCAGTTTTTCCAACAGAAGAAAATAGCTGCACACCTTTTTTCTTTATAAAATACAATACAATGAATAGCAATTTGTGTTTGTGGCTCCCAGAATTAAGCCTTACCTCATTTTTTGCATACTATAAATGATATTCTTGCACAGGATTGCATTGGGACCCAGTAGTGCCTCAACAATGCCACCAAATATCCATGTAAAGCCTCCATGCAGAAAAGGTGAGTGGTCTTCATAGCACAGTTTCTCCTCTTGGAAGTCAAATATGTTCCCTCTTGATGTTGTCCCACAATAGCTGCCTCTCAGAATCCAGTAGTTGTTCAGTCCATGAGGCTGGGTGTTTCAGCAGTCCCAATCTGTTCTGGAGTCCTTGAGGATTCCTCAGAGCTGATTATCTCTAGTATCTTTTTTATTGTTTCTTTGCAGATTTCACATCATGTATCCCAACCCCACTCATCATCCTATCCCTTCACATCTGACCTTGGCCCTTGTGACCTCCCCCATCAAGATAAAACAAAATAAAATTTAAAAGAAAAGAAAAATCTCAAGAAAGCTGTAGTGTGACACGCCAAATCACACAGTATGTTCTTTGGTCCACACATCTTTACTTGCAAATGTTAATTGCAATGGATAATTGAGCTGGTCCAAGACCTCTGGTTTCTGCTACACTATCAATACTGGGCCCCCACTGGGGCAGAGAGGGGAGCAGGGAGGACAGAAAAGAGGAGGGCAGAGATGGGTCCCTGGGGACAAGAGTAGTAGAAGAGAGAGAGACAGGAGGTGGGTAAGACCCACCTTTTATAAGGGAACATAGCAAATGTGCACAGGGAATGCAGCTGAGGGCGTACCTTGTCAGAACCCTAAGGGAAGGCCAGTGCAGATGCCTGGTTACTAACAAATGTATCTCACAGAAATATCCTGTTGTCCTTTGTCATAGAGATTCTGCAGCCCCAGCCCCTTCATGTGCTCCAACAGTTCATAGATGGGGTGGATGTTAGGGTGGGCCAACTCATACCCTGGTCTGGGCCTGAGCCGTTGTAGAATTGGTCAGTCCACCACCAGCTGTCCCTCATCTTCAGCACCAGGGTGAGCTCTCCTGCACCACCCCAGCTAGCTCACCATATGCAATAAGCTGCAAGGGTGATCATTTGAAGTTGTTGAAGCAAGACGTTGTTGGTGTGCTTCGACAGAGGCAAAGAAGATGAACAATGTCTTTTGAATATTGTTTTGTCTTGCTCATACTAATGGATTTTAATAGGGGCTGAAATGCAGAGATGCTTCTCTTGTTTAGAAAGAGGAGATGCCACATTACTCAGTGACACAGCTATGGCAACCATGAGCAGTTGTGCATATTGCCATTGGCTGCACAGAGTTGACCTTCCTGAAAATCAGCTGTGAAAGGGGAAGGGACTCATGAGCCCTATCATCTACTGCGGATCTACTGACAACCAACGGATGCTGAGAGATGAGGAGGCACGGTATCCATTATTTGTACACCCACTGGTGAATCCACTCGGTTAGTTTCACATTCAGTCACTTAGTCTAGTTAAACTCTTCAGGAGAGCAAACAAAACACATATCTGTTCTCTGCTCCTTTGAAAAGTGTTATATGTCTGTTTATAGAAAATACTTCTTTTTTTTTAAGTGTTATTTACCTGGAGTAAAAGGTTAGGGGCACTGGATCTTCTCTGTCAGTTTTTAGATGCACAGAAATTTTTTCTTCCATCATTAAAATGAAAATGACAGGTTTTCATCAGCTTAACTTGCAATGACATCCCAAGACTGCAATAAACTGATTAACACAAAATCCAACTAATGAGATCTAGCATTCGAGACAAGTATTTACTTTCAGGACACTGAGTCCATATGGCACAGAGACACTTGCACATCAGGGTTCATGCAGGACTGTTCACAGTAGCTGAGTTATGACACCAGCCATAGCTGCCCACCAGCAGAGAAATGGGTAAGGAAAATTGGACTATGTACACAATGGAATTCAGCTGTAATAGAATACGAAGCTATAGTATTTACCAAAAAAAAAAAAAATAGATTTGACTGTAATTATATCAAGCAATTTAAGGCAGTTTCAGAAAGAAAAATATGTGGTTTCTCTAACTTATAGTTCCTACACTTTTTGCAGTTAAAAATCATGACCTGAAATAGTGCAGGGAAACAAAGAGGACTAATGGGAAGGGGAAAAGGGTAGAGAGAGAGGAGAGGGGTAAAAGAGTAGAGGAAGGGTGGAGCTGGGGAGACAGTCAAAACAATGTTCACACATACATACAAATAAAAATTCAAATGAACAAATTTTAAAAATTAAAGTCTTTGTGAATGAACTGCTATGAATAAAGAAGCAAAATTACCACAAGAGTACAAAATATTACGGATTTTAATAGGAAAGTCGAGGCAGAAAAACAATTAAATGATTTGAAAAGAGTTTAGGAACTTGGCAGAGCATACCACCTATATACTAAAAAGACTTTGAAATTGATTATTCTAGACAGTCAAGTGAAGCCCATTTGTAAAGTTCCATTGAGACAAAAACTGATCACCACTTTTTTAGGGCTCAGGGCTCAGATCATGTGTTAGGCTGATCAATGCACAGTGAGGAATAAAACCTTGGTGAAGCTGAGAGCCCCTCTCAGTAGTCTTTCAGATACTGTAGAAAGAAAATGAAAGCATGGTTCAATGTAGCACGCTGTCCTCAGCAAAGCTTAGAGAGTAGGTTTGCTGTGGGAGCATGATGGTTCACAGTAGTTGAAGAGAGCAGTCATCAGGAAGGTTAGAGATGGCTTCCCAGCCAGCAAGAGCTGCAGGAGCTTCTATGGTGGAGGCTGGGAGCTTGACCACAGGATGTGCTGCAGCTATACAGGCTGATGTCCTGTGAGTGGTCCCTTAGTAGGGGCTCTGTGGTAGTGGGTTGGCATGCAGGGCAGCAGCTGGTGTGGGTAATGGCGGCATGCATGCAGGTGAGGCTTCTGAGGGGAGACCAGTTTCTCATCACCTGCAATCTTCTCTATCAGGTATTTCATGTACTGTTTCCCAGCATAGAATATAGGAGAAATTCAGGTTTATTAGCTTGGAAGTTTCACTAACTGTATTTTGTAAAAGGGCAGATGCATAGAAAATCAGTATGGAGAATAAATAAAATGAATGTTTTTATTTTGAATGCTAACTTTGAAACAATACACCCTCTACCAGCGTTATTTCTTAGTTTCTTCATAATTTATAACTGCATCTTACTGATTTTTTTGTACCAGCCATTTTGCTATTATATACTGAGGTCTGACTTTTGTGTATGATGTTTCCATATTTGTACCTATTTTAAATATCATCCAAACTGGAGAGATTATGGTTCTCTGTCTCATTCAGGAACAGTGAGTTAAATGGCTGGAGGAAGAGGAGCAACACATCCTATGTTCACTATAGCAATGAGACACACCAAAAACAAAGAGGTCCTAGATGAAAGGACACTGCAATTTAAAAGGGCCACATAATGTCTAGTGAGAAGCTGATTCAATGAAAATCATGCAAATATCCCTTTAAAAAGCAAATATAATTGCACAGACAGCATGTCAAAACCAGAATGTCTGGAAAGGTCATAGTCAGAAGACAATTACAAACATAACAATGCTAGCTTAGCAGCAGGATGCAAATCTCCATACTGAACAACCTCACATCCCTGGAGAGTCACATAGAACCTCTACCCAGGACACCATGGTCATCTCTTGTAGCTTCACCTACTTTGACTAGGACTGTGTGTGCCAAAGCCTCTGCTAGGAATTCTGTGTCAGAACATCTGTTGTTAGACTGCTTGCTGTTATCCAGTTGTCACCCAATTGTTGCTGTGCATCAGTCATGGGTAACTATTATGTTGTCAATGTGCCCACCTTATGTTTTTTCCAGTACACCTGTGCTTGTATTGAGCCATCACTACATCTGTCACTCAACTGGTCAAGTCATTAAGAAGATCTTTTATTTTGTTTTTGTTCATGGAGACAGTGTCTCATGTACCCTAGGTTAGCCTTAAATTCTCTATTTAACTGAGGCTGGCCTTGAACTCCTGATCTTCCTCACTTCTACTTCCTAAGTGCTAACATAGGAATGTGCCACCTGGACTAAGAATTAATTTTCATAAGCAACTATTTAAACTTTAAAACATATAAGTAGTAAATTCCCTGTCTATTACTGTCACATTCTGACAGATGACCAGAGGCTTCCTGTGACTTTATTGACCAAGTTTGTTGTCATATTACCATCCTTGGCATGCCTTGGACTTTTCAAAGGATCATGTGTGATAGAGTGACTGTGTCCCAGTAAATACATACTCTCTTAATATCATAAATATTTGTGGTCATTAAGCATATCTGACATTGATTTATTTGGAGAAAAATTTGGGTTGCTGTCACATAGACAAAGAAAACAATTAGCATCCATATCTTAGTAGGTAGATTGAAATAGTAAGTCTTAAAATTTTTCATGTCTGTACACATGCCTGTACAAAGCCAAGACAAACTGCAAGAAAATTAGATGGCAGATGAATTATTATACAAAAATTGGAAGAGATAATTCACCATATCATTTTTCTTCCTTTTCATAGAGAGGCGTTCTCTCCAACTAAATAAGTGTCCATGCCTTTGATTCAATTAGATCAAGTCAGCACAGATGTAGCTGCTTTGATCTTTATAGTGACTTCCTTGCAATACATTTTCACATCTCCAAAAGGCCAGCTCTCCTGTTTTTATAAGCATTTGGTCTATGTTCAAAATAACTATCATGAGAAAATGATAAAATGACAACCTAGCCTCAGCTTTTGAAAAGGAATTTAGAAATGATCATTTCAAGGTGAAGAATAAAGATATAGAAAATTTGAGTAGACTCACTATCAACTTAAATGCAATACCTATTCTCCTACCATTTATTCTGTCTTGTGCTTAACCAATTGCACTGCCATAGTCTTCATATATATTTAGACTATTTATACATGATGTCACACTACAATGAAGATCTCAACAGTAGGAATAATGTGGAATTCTTCTTTTACCCTGATACAGTGAAATTAGACAACCCTACCAAGAAATGCCCTAAGAACTGAATGGAGAAACTAGAGACTCAAGGCAGCCAAGGACTCAGATGCAATGTGCACAAAAAGTCTCATTTTTTATTATTACAGCTCCTTTGTAGTAACAGAAGGTAACGATAAAATTAATACAATACAATAATGCAAACAATCCAATCCAATAATACAGAGTTATGAGTTTACAGTTTAGCAGAGATGCCTGCTTCACAGCCCAGCATCTTCAATGTTATATAAAGCACAACAATGTTATTTGTCTTCATAAAAACATCTGAGATATGTGAACATCATTTACTCTAACCATTCTCTAGAAACTGAGGAACATCTTAGGCATTCCTCTGTTCCTTCCTGCATTTGCTGACATTCCAAATTCTCTTCTTGAGAAAGATAAACATAGGATAGTCTCATGCCCATGTTACAAATTCATTTTACCCTCACATAGTCTTAATCCAAATGTCAATATTCAGACTTTCTTCTAGTATGTTCACAGTTTACTTTTCAAGAGTCTCTAGGAAAAAAGAGACACAGACCCACTATGGGACTGGTATGAGGCTTCATGATGACATATGAAATGTTTGATTTTTGTATGCTATGTCATTTCATGATTATCCATTGGCTGAGTCAGAATAGGAATTTTTGAAATTTGATGATACACTTAAGGAAACAGAAGAGATGACTCAGGAGGAAAGACTGAATGATAACCTTTGACCCTGAGAAAGAGCAGAATGCATTCCATCTAATTTTTATATAGAGTCTTCCACAATTAACTAATTTAGTAACTGTTTATATACTAAGAGAAACAATAACAAGGAAATGACCCTTAACCTGGTAACAGCATCAGGGTATAAAAGAGGGCAGGGAATAAGGACACTCACAAAGTTGAGAAACTCACTCTCTTCAAAACCCACTCAGAACCTCCACCTCTCACACCATGGTCAACTCCTATTGTGGCTCTGTCTGCTCTGAGCAGGGCTGTGATCAAAGTCCCTGCCAGGAGAGCTGCTGCCAGCCCAGCTGCTGCCAGACCACCTGTTGCCAGACTACCTGCTGCCGCCCAGTGTGCTGCCAGACCACCTGCCGCCCCAGCTGTGGAGTGTCCAGCTGCTGCCGCCCAGTCTGCTGCCAGACCACCTGCCGCCCCAGCTGTGGAGTGTCCAGCTGCTGCCGTCCAGTGTGCTGCCAGACCACCTGCCGCCCCAGCTGTGGAGTGTCCAGCTGCTGCCGCCCAGTCTGCTGCCAGACCACCTGCCGCCCCAGCTGTGGAGTGTCCAGCTGCTGCCGCCCAGTGTGCTGCCAGACCACCTGCCGCCCCAGCTGTGGAGTGTCCAGCTGCTGCCGTCCAGTGTGCTGCCAGACCACCTGCCGCCCCAGCTGTGGAGTGTCCAGCTGCTGCCGCCCAGTGTGCTGCCAGACCACCTGCCGCCCCAGCTGTGGAGTGTCCAGCTGCTGCCGCCCAGTCTGCTGCCAGACTACTTGTTGTGGTACAACTTGCTGTCGCCCCTCTTGTTGAATTTCCTGTCTGACTACCAATCTTGAGGCAGCCATAATCACAGGGAGCTGAACTTCTCATCCATATATTAAAGGATTCCTACCTTGAATGTCCTGACAACAGTAAGAAACTGGCAGAGGAGAGTCCTACATTAAGTACCACCCATATTTCCCAAGGATCTCCTCTCTTCATGCACGTCTCAGATGCATGGTACAGCGAGACATATCCCTTAACTCTCTATCTTTCTTAGACTTCACCATTCCATGTTAATTATTCTTCAATAAATATTTCCTTGCAATAAAAATATATGTATTTTTTCATTTATTTTAAGAGAATTAACAGTTTATTTTTCTAGGATTATTCCTTCCAAGGTAAAAAGATATTTGGGTTACTATGACCAGGAAGAAAACTAGTTTTGCTAATATGTTAGACATATGCATATTTATGGCAGCCTTATTCATATTGGCTGGGAAACAGAATTAGCCTGTGTCCATCAACTGATGAGTGGCAAATAAAATGCCTTGTACACAATGGAATGCTATTTACTCATAGAACAGGTGGAGTCATGTAATTTGTGACAACATTGTTAGAATTAGAAGATGTTACGATGTGGAACCAGCCAGATACAGAAAGGAAATACACGCAACATCACTCAAATGTGGAAAATAAAAATATGATTTCATAGAAATTGACAGTAGAAAGGTTGCTCTGCGATTCTGGGGAGAATAGAGGGACACGAGAAGGAATACCTGGTTGGCATGTTGTAAGGCAAACAGATAAAAGGGTTGTTCTAGTACTGGAGAGATGACTCAGTGAGAAAAAGCTCTGGCTACCCTTCCAGAGGACCTGGGTTTGAGCTCCAGAACCCACATGGCAGCTCACAATAGAAGGTCCAGGACTCTTCTGTGGCCTCCACAGGCACTAGACATTCACATGCTACACCGACAAACATGCAAGCAAAAAGCCACATACATGAAATAAATAGAAAAATAAAACTGTAAGTGTGAAATAGCTATAGTGTTCAATTGCAGAGAGAAATTGCTACAGATGATAATCCATATTTTAAAACAGCTGAAAAAAGGATATTGAATATTTTTAGTAAGAAATTATATATATTTGAGGATGTAAATGCATTAACTCAGACTTAAACAGTGTGTCATGCATGCACAGATAAAAATCATATAGCATCTCAGAAATGTATATAATTTTATATCAGCTCAAAAGCAGAAAAGAAAACTGATTTTGCACATATAGCCTACTATCCATATTGTAAAAAGGACTATATTTCAAAAATAACAAACCTTATTTAATTAACAATATTTTTTCCTTTTCAATCCACAAGTCTCATGGGACCATTGAACTCTTAAAGATTAGACACACGAAGACCAGTAGTTTCCAACAATAAACTCACAGTCTAGTCTTCGAAATAAAGGCTTAGGAATAAAAGGAAGGACCAAAATAGATAGGATGTGTTGGAAGAAACTTCTGTTTCAGAGAAGGACAATGCAGAAGGATTTTTTGTTTTTGTTTTTTTGTTTTTGTTTTTATTTTTTATATAAATAAAGTAAAAAGCTAGTAAATGCTAGGGAAGCATGCAAGTAACAAACTCAGGATGAAAAGAGAAAGAGAAAAAGCAGGAGGGGATGAGGAGAGGGGGAGGAGGAGGCTGGGGCAGGAGGAGGCAGCCAGGGGTTGCTTACATTGTTATAATAAAGGGAGTAAAATGGGGCAAGAGATCAGTGGCTGTGAGAGAAGATACGCCAGGAAATGGACGATGCTGCTCATGCCCCGATTGCCTTTACATCACTGACACTGTGATAAAATAAATCATGAGTAGATGAGGAAGCTCTTAGTCAGAGGTGGAGTGTATAGAGACCAGTGATTCCTCCAGGAGGGCTTGAGGAAAGAGTGTAAATATCAGGGAAGGAAAAAGCTGCATGAATGGACCAACAAATTGGCTCAAGGGGTAAAGGTGCTTGCTGCCAAACCTGGGATGCACAGTGGAAGGGAGGATGGTCCTCTGACCTGCATACACAGGCAGTGACATGTGTGTGCACCCCCTACACAAACATGCACACAAAAATAAATAAAATATAATAAAAAAACAAAGTTGTAAGAAAGAAGAACTTAGGTTGTGTTTGAAAGTTGTGCTGAGTATGTGCTTTTGGGATAGTCTTTTTTTTTTTTTTTTTTAGTAATTTTTAAATTTAAATGAAAAATAATCTGATGGGAGATGTCATTCTGTAAACATGTTTCTCTTACTGCTTAATGAATAAAACACTGTTGGCAAATAGGAAAGCAAGATAGTAGGGACTAAGAGACAAGGAGGATTCTGGGATATGTAGTAGGAGATTCACAATGTAGAGACTTGAGAGAGCAGAGGTCTGGACACTCTCTCAGGTAAGATAGACCATGTGAAAATACTTAGATTAATAGAAATGGGTTAATATTTAAGACAGAGCTAGCCAAATAGAAACACTAGCCAACAGCTTTATATTAAATACAGTGTCTCTGTGTGTTATTTGGGGCTGACGCGGCAATGAGACCAGGCTGTAAGAATAATCTGGATTTCTTTCTTTCTTTCTCTCTTTCTTTCTTTCTTTCTTTCTTTCTTTCTTTCTTCCTTTCTTTCTTTCTTCCTTTCTTTCTCCCTTCCTCCTTCCTTCCTTCTTCTTCTCTCTCTCTCTCTCTCTCTCTCTCTCTCTCTCTTTCTTTCTCTCTTTTTCTTTTTTGTTTCGAGATAGGGTTTCTCTGTATTACTTTGGAGTCTATCCTGGAACTCTCTCTAGAGACCAGGCTGGCCCTGAACTCACAGAGATCTGCCTGCCTCTGCTTCCCGAGTGCTGGGATTAAAGGTGTGCTCCACCAATACCCAGCGTTAAATTAAAAACAATCTTATTTCACATACCAATCCCAGTTTCCTCTCCTTCTCGTTCTCCCATCCCCCCCATCCACTCCCCAGGAAGAGTGAGGTCTCCAATGGGAGATCATCAAAGGCTGTCACAACATTAGGGGCAGGGCCTACACCCTCCCCCATGTATCTAGGCTGAGAGAGTATCCCTCCATAGGGAATGGGCTGCCGAAGTCTGTGCAGTAGGGATAAATACTAGTTCCACTACCATAGACTACCATAGTCCCATAGACTGCCCTGATCACCCAACTGACACCCACGTTCAGGGGCCTGGTTCAGACCTATGCTGGTAAATCAGTTGTCAGACTAATGTCCATGTGCTACCACTTGTTCAAGCCAGCTGTTTCTGTGGGTTTCCCCAGCATTGTCTTGACCCCTTTGCTCATCACTCCTCCCTCTCTACAACTGGATTCCAGGAGTTCAGCTCAGTGTTTAGCTGTGGATGTCTGCTTCTGTTTCCATCAGCTATTGGGTGAAGGCTCTAGGATGGCATTTAAGATAGTCATCAATCTCATTATAGAGGAAGGGCATTTAAGGTAGCCTCCCCACTATTGTTTAGATTCTTAGTTGGTGTCATATTTGTGGATCCCTGGACATTTCTCTAGTGAGATTTCTTTTTAAACCTATTATGGCTCTCTCTATTGAGGTATCTCTTTTCTTGCTCTAGATCCTGCAAAATCTGGTAAAACTCAGGTGGGCTTGATCCAGGGGAACAAACAAAATGCCTCCCAAAGTCATGTCTCTGGCTTTAATTGGTCTGCCTGAAGCCACTTCTACCAGAAAACAGATACTTGATCAAAACGAAGAGTCAATAGACTAAAGTTATCTTAAGGGAAGGACCAGTAAAACACTTTAGGTGTTCTCAAATGGGGGAAACTTATCCTTCTGGCAGTGATAGCAAAGGAGGAGAATCAAAAGGTAGAGTTAGTGATACCAGCATTTAGAGCTGAAAGGCAGATCCAGTGAAAACCATTAAGAATGGGGAGCCATATGTTTTGTGGCCAGGGCAGTAGGGAGTTGAGGCTAGGAAGGTTGTTGGGTTTCTGCTTCTGAGATGCTTAATTATCAGAACTTGTAACCAAACGCATGATTGTCAGCATTTGTCTGTGATGGGCAAAGCTGACTGTCAGACTAACTCCTATTTCATCTTATTGAGAAGCGGGGACATCAGACATATTTGGATTTAGAACATATTCTTAATGGTGGGCTTGAATAGGCATGCGATTGGAAGAGAAGGCCATTACTTTTTCTAAGCATCTCCCAGAATAACTTGGACTTTTTTTAAATACAGGCTGCCAATGTTGTCCTACTCAATGTTTGGAGTCAGTTGGTTATTTCAGATAGACAAACTTTGATTCATGCACCTTTCATCCATAGAGTGATCCCACACCATCCAACAAGCCAACATATATATATTATGCTGACTTCTCTTTCCCAGCTCCCTAACTCCCAGCACACTCCTAGAATAATGTTCTTTCTTTTTGAAAACCCATTCCATCATTCTGCAACAGGAATTATTTCACTTCCATTCATTTCTGCTGTTGCCTTCCCATTTGCCATGTGTTTTGTAGCATGGATCTTACAGTACATGCCTAGCTAGACAGAGCCATGGGTAAGGGAGGAATATAAATGACAGCCAGTCCAAATCGTTGGTTCCAAACTGACACCTGGAAGAGAAAGCTGCAGATTTAAAATGATATCATGCACACAAGGAAGGGACAGAAGTTGGTTTGGAAGCATCAAATTTGAAAGAAAATACATGTAATTCCCTGATTCCATAACTTACCTGTTAACAACATCCATAATAATAAAGATGTCTCTTGACAGGAGACAAAGGTGTAAAAGAGACTTCCAAACACAGAAAACTCACTCTCTTGGATACCCACACCAAACTTCCAACCTCCACGGGCATCATGTTCTACTCCTGTTGTGGCTCTGTCTGCTCTGAACAGGTCTGTGGCCAAGGCTGCTGCCAGCCCAGCTACTGTCAGACTACTTGCTGCAGGCCCACCTGCTGCTGGCCCCCTGCCATTTCCTACCAGCCTACCTGCTGTGTGTCCAGCTGCTGGAGGCCTAGCTATTATGTGACCAGTTGTTACCACCACAGATGCTTTGTGTCTACTGGCTACAAACTCAGATTTTGTGTGTCCAGCCACTGCTGCCTCAACTGCTGTCATTCCAGCTGCTGTATGTCCAGCTGTTGTCATCCCAGATGCTATAAACCTAGTTGCAGCTGTCCTATCTGTTGCCAGACCACCTGCTGTAACCCTCTCTACCTTGGATCATCTTGCTGAATTTCATTCCTGACCATTGCCCTCAGGCCAACCAAAATGTTACCAGAGTACAAGACTTCCTAATCTCTTTTGTCTACACACTTGGTCTTGTTCTGATCTGT